ATAACGTCTTTATTTATTAAACTATTCAATAGTTTAATATATATATATATATTCAAATAGTTTATTTAAATTAAGTTCCAACAGGTGATAAGTGCTTCTAACAGGTCACTTTTTCATAATGTTTTAAAAGTGCTCCGGTTTTGCCAAACGGAAACTTTCAAAAACATTTGAATATTTGGTGCGACTGTTCACTTTTTTGAGAAACCTGTTCGGGGCTTAGGATTTTGCCTATATATACTGTCTTATTTCCAGCTTTTGGGGAAAAAAAATCAGTCAAAATATCTGGAAATTGAGTCTTGGTAATCCAATTTCCATCCGAGATTTTTAGTCTAAAATTTTTCTCTTTGCTGTCCCTTTCTTTTAGTGCATTATCCTCATATTTAGTTTTAGAAAAAAAATATTCAGAGAGTATAGATCACAGGTTTGGTTCGCCGAACAAATTTATTTGAAGTGCTTCTATAAATTTGTGAAGATCATTGTATCTTGGGAGATAGACGCCACTCACCGTAAGTACCATAGCGGGGAGAATCTGTCTTAAGGACAGAGTGTCACACACTCGACTGGTCTTGTAATTTATTTGGTTCGACAAAATAAATCCGGTATGTTATTATTATTATTGTTTGAATTTATTTCTAGTTATTTATTTACACAGTTGGTCGACAAAATAATCCGGTATGTTATTTATTTATTTTGTTTGAATTTATTTCTAGTTATTTTATTTACACAGAAGATTGTTCCAACAATCTTAAGACAGATTCGCCCCGCTATGGTACTTACGGATGAGTGGCGTCTATCTCCCAGGATACAATATCTTCACAAATTGTAGCAGTACTCCAAACAATTTGTTCGGCGAACCAAACCTTGTGTTCTAATACTCTCTTTTATTAGTCCTAAAAATATAAATGAAGAATAATATACTTAAATAAAACCGAACAGCAAAACAAAATTCCTTAGACTGATTTTTTTTCCTATCCCCGAATACCAACCCACTGCTAGGAAGTTAGTATATATAGGCACAAGAACTCACCCCGAAGAGGTGTAATTTCAAAGTGAAAAGGTGCACACCTTTGTCAACCTTGAATTTTGAAATTCAAAGAGCCGTTAAACTCACTTTCATATCATTTGAATAGTGATCCGTATAGGTACAACAGTTAGGCAAACTGTTTTGAAACTTTATAATTAAACTATTAGAAATAAAACCTTTCACTTGAATGAAATAACTTTATTAAACTATTTAAATAGTTTAATCAAATTTTAGGAAACCAATTAGGAACTAAAAATTTAAATTAAGATTTAGAATTAAATTAAATTCCCACAATTACAAACTTTAGGAAACCACTTAGGAACCCAAAATTTGAATTTAGAATTAAATTAAATTCCCACAATAATTTTTATTGAAAAAATTCAAGTGAATTTTATCTAAATAAAAATTAATGTTAAACCCGAAAACGACGTCAACTTCCCATTCACTCATAAATGGTTTTGACGTACCGTCTTCACTGTGTGACTTGCCACGCGGCAAGGAACACGTCACTTCTTCGGACCCACCCCAAAAGATGTTTGGGGCCCACCCAAAATGGGCTCAAAATTATGCCTATATAAAACCATTTTCCAACAAATCAACTCAAACCACTTCCTTCTTCTGCCTGTGAGCATCTCCCATAAAAAAAACTAGCACACGAGAAACTATGAGAGAAGTGTTTCTCGTGTGCTAGTGTTTGAAAAGTGTAATCGAGCAGAATATCTTGATCTATTTATTGAAAAGTGTTTCAACAAAAAATAGTGAAGTACAACAAATATCAATTGCCAAAGTTATGTCACAGACTGACAGCTTAAACTTCTAGAAAAAAATTGCAGTAAACAACTAAGACTTCATAGGGAAAAAGAATGCTAGAAGTACGGAATGAAGTATCAAGCAAGGGTGTCAAACCTGAGCTATGGCTGCCACCCATTCAGCCAAAGTACCATATGCATGGGACAAATGCTTTGCTGTGGCAGTGTCCATCACTCTTGGCACAACTTTACTATTGTACGACTTCTTCATGCGGACATATTGTTGGGCAAGCATCGTAAAAGATGCAGGGTCATATCCATCTCCACCAATAAGACGTAGGTTGTATGTCAAACATTTGTTGGTAGGACTCAGCTTACCAGACTTGATAGTTGTATCAACTGCATCTTCTGCCATGCTTACTCATGTAAAGAAAACAGAAGTTTCATTAGAATAGACTGACAGGAAAAAGTTGCTTCACACTTCTAATATTGATTTCACTATAAATGAAGGTAACATAACATGTTGTTATATCTGCTACAAATAAGCCATAAAGAAGGGGCATAGAACTAGAAGTGCCAGCACAATGAGTATTTAACTAAATTCAGGACGTGATTGTACAAAAGCATAAAAAAGAAGATCCCAGTGCATACAAGTTTCAATTTCCAAAAACTGATACAAATTCAACGACTTATAGGGAAACCTAGATCAGCCAATATAAAATGTACCTTCTGTATGTAGTCCACTTTCCACCAGTAATCGTGACTATACCGGGGTAATCTTCGCATACAACATGATCCCTGGAAATGCTCTCAGTGTTCTTTGCTCTAGGATCTGTTGCCAATGGGCGAATACCACTCCAAGCAGAAAGAACATCTACAGGCCGTACCTAAATTGTCCTGGTATATTTTCAGTGTCCACTAAAAACTGAATAATTAAACAAAATAGATGACACCTAGGTTGAGTCACATCAACATAAATGGACCAGAATAAAACTAAAGCCTCCCTAAGAAAACAAAATTGAAGTAAGAAACTAATGAATTTGTGATGATGTCTTGACATGTATATGAAAAATATTTAAAACATCAACCATTATTGCTTCTTAACAGCATGATTGTATTGGCAAATATCCACCAATACAAAAAAACTAATTGGTCCACAGACCCGGAAGGCAACCAGACCAAATAAACAAGTTAAGTGATAAATTTGAGATCCCAACTTCTTGAGGTATGCCTAGACTTGAGAAGATCTCTAGTATGGGAAGGAGCTACTACAATTGGAAAAACCACAGAATATTATTCTCATCTTCTGTGACAAACTATAAATCAGTCAGTATTTGGATCACTTGGATAGCATTACAAAACTATTTACACCTACAAGTGTCAGCAAAAACACATGCAAAGATGCAGAGAGTCAGACAATGCTGAGAAGGCTACACAGGCCAACACATTCTTGCATACTTCATACATCCTTAGCTATGCTTCAATATTTTCTTTTGGTTAATGTAGGTGCAAAATATTTAGGTTACATTATCTCAAATGCATACCCATTACATACAAATTGAACAGATTGAAGGAGGACATGTCTTAAGCTAAATCTGCACAGAAATGGCTGGCATTTGTTTAATATGTGAGTGCAACATGTTTCCAAAGACTAGGGAGCCTTAGCCATATAAAATGGTGAGGGAGATGCTTATAGAATCTATCAACTTTCATCACTAGGAGATATTTAAGTATTGAAAGGGTTCAAACTGCAAAAAAGCTACTATAAGATCCTCTACATAGTAACATTTCAACATCAACAGTGGATATTGAGGTTTCAATGGGCATTTCATTTGATAAAAAAATTGAGATGCATATCTTGAGCATTCCAGTCAATAAGCTACATTATGCTATGGGATCAAAAGACATATGCCATGGAGTTTGCTTTAAAAATAAGAGATAGGTAGCAACATTTAAAGCTGGGCCTATAGTCCAAATGGTAAGGACTGCGCAGCATAATCTTGACGCAAAAATCTGAGGCTCACATCAAAGAAAATGATATCAGACAGATAGCAAAAGTTGAACTTCAACCAACAAAAAGAAAGAAACTTCTTAGTCTTCAGTCCAACTCCATTTAGAGTACGATAACACAGAGACAACCAGATAATAGGGTATATCTTCAGGCTTTGTTTTTCATAGTTCCACAAAGATTTATTGAGATGACCAGAATTTTTTTTATTTTTTATTAAGAACAAACTTCACCAAAAATCCCATAAAAAATAACTTTACAAAAAACAAATATTTGGAAAATTAGCATTCCATGCAAGATATAGATGAGCATGCACACACAAAACGAAAAAAATGCACAAACCTTAACATTAAGGTAATCACAGATGGCATCCAGTATAAATTCAATCTCATCCTCATTTGGTTCTGGAAGCATTGTAATGGTGGTGCTGGAATCCGTAGTGCCAGCAATCGTTCTTCCCAACCACGGCAGCATGAAGACAACACATCCATCTTTTGTTTTGGGAACGATTAAACCCATTCCCTTGGGAGAATAGTAATCAGGTAGCACGATATGTACACCACTGCTTGGACAGATCATAGGGTAGGGCTAAATGTGATTGAGTGAAACATACTTGGAAATCATGAAGCAGAATGGTGACAAAATATCATAATGGCGCAAATCTCAAGGCTTGAAACTTTATTGTATTTCACAGTGGTAAAAAGAATGAGACAAAGTTTAGAAGTTTAAATCTTCATGTTGACAATAAAATGCCAAAACATAGTGCTTATCATACCTGTCAGATTGCCTCGAATATGAGCACCGATTATCCGGTTGCAACCTTCATCTTTTAGAAAGGATATGACTTCAGCATGGTTAAGCACAGCTGCACCTGCTAATGCAGCAGTGCATGCTAGCCCAACATTAACTCTCGAGTCATTCATTTGTCCATCATATTAAACCACTGTGCCCTTCAAGGTTCTATCTCTGCCCTTCCTTGCAAGAGTGGGGAACAGTTCAACAGACTCTTGTGCAGAATAATAACTGGGCAGGTGCAGGAGGCGTGGTCCTGCGACCAGATCATACAGTTTCAAGCCCATCCAGAAGTACACTGCCTCAAACCAGTTGAAACACGGTGTCATGCATGGCAAAGCATTGCATAAGTGTGAAGCATTCTCAATAACCTGTGCACGCTCCTCGAGAGCATGGAATACCAGCTTCAATTGTCCATATTCTAAATTAAAAACTGCTTTCTCCAGGTACCGAACTCCTAAAAATGTTGTTTAAATAAGTACTAACAATAAAAGAGGAATTTGACAATATTAAAGAATGTTAACAAACAACAGCAAAATAAATACAAGAACGATACGAATAAAAACTTCCTGAGTAATAAAGAATTATTAGCAGAAGATGAACAACTTTCACTGCATTCATAATTTATTTTGTTATAGATAAAAGCAATCTATTAGAGTGCAAAAAAGAAAGAAATCAAAGTTGGTTTTGACACTTCAAAATAGAGCAGTTCCAAGAACAACTATCAACCATAATGTCTAGATAATCCACATATACAAAGTGTAATGTCTGATGCCAGATACTATGACACCATAACGATGTTTGTTTTTCCCCTTTGTAACTAAATCAAGAAAACCCCATAAGCTGGCATGTTATAGAAAGAAGGCTCCAACTCATGATCTCAGCCTTCTTGAGACATAGTCCATGACCACGTTCATGACGTAGGTGGTTGGTGGAATATTCACATGAAGATTGTCAATTAAGTCATTAGAATTTGATTAAAAGTCTTTCAATATATATTGCTTTATTTTCTTACTTTTAAATGTCCTTAGGTTTTAAGGGACAAAAGCTTGAGGCTTGAGTTGTTAATAGTGTTTGAAAACATTTTTAGATGTTTTACGATTCTAGGATCAAAATCTTAGGCTAAATCCATATTAGGTAGGGTAGTTTTATATGTTAATTACTTGTCATTAGGATTTTTGTATTCCCTCAAAATGGCTTCTTAGGAGAAAAACGAAAAAGGTCTTGACAAATTAATAAACGCTTTAATTCGAGCCTTGTGCATTGAGTCCCCCATTTTTTAGATTCCCACAAACTTCATCCAACTTGCTTGTTTTTAGAAACCATTGGCCGTTGTTCTAGAAATCATGTGACTAGGGTGGCCTAGGATTGCTACCTAAGTTTGAAATTACATTATTAGCATTACTCTGTGACCAATATAAAAATTATAGCAGGTATACCAGTTGTGATGAAAGAAATGCCCTTTCTACTTCTTTGAATATCTTAATTGTGGAGAACCAAATTGGTTTTTACTTTGTTCAAGTTGAAGATGGTAGAAAGATAAGAGAGAGGTTTAAATACTAAAGGAATGTGGATCAAAGTTGTGAGAGCCATGATGATCTAGGGTCCAACACATGTTATGGCCTTAGAACAAAATGATCAAATTTGAAAAGAGAAAGGAGAAGAATGATTCATATTCTTGATACTTGTAATAGCTTGTTAAGCTGTGTTAAGATATGTAAATTTGAAAATAATAAGCTAACTGTTGTCTTTAAAAAATTCAAAAATAATGTGTCTTGTGTTGTATTACTATTATAATGATTATTAAAAATCAGAAAAACTATCATACTGCGCTAATGAGCTCTAAATGCAAACTTATTTGGAGTTTGGGGAATGATGACTACTCACATGATTCTAAAGGTACTTGATAGGTTAGGTTATAATCTAGATTATTAACATTTAGCTGGTCTTGTGGTTTGTCTGGCTACTCCATACTTGCCCTTGTAGTCTTACTCAAATTGCTTTTTATCAAGAGCGATGACAAGAATTTTTAGTCATCTAGTCAAGGTGCACATATGATGGGGAAAGCATCGTTTTAGTGGAAGTTGTTGGAACTTTATTTTCTATTCCACTCAAGTTCTTCAAAGATACAAACAAGATTTGGGTTTTGACAGTGATTTAAGGTTTTTTTTTTTTTAAATTTAGGAAGTGATTGTGGTTGTGGTGGTGATGGTGGCGATGGAGATTTAGTGCTGGTGAGGTGGTGATGATGGTCGCCATTGCATGTGCCCTTGATGGCTATCTTCGATGGGCTCAGAAGAAGAGGGTAGAGAGAGAAATGGAAGGAAGGGGAATCTTCGGGTCTGGATGAGAAGGTCGAAGTTTGTAACAAGGAAGGAGAGGGTTGAAGCCTTTGATCCGAACCTAAATTGGCTATTCCATGAAGAGGAGGTATCGTTTTCTTCTTGTATTAAGCACACTGTGGGGACTGAGGGTGAGGAAGTCTTTGACTCTGGGGAAAAGGTATGTGACTCTTTTGACAAAGATAACATGAACTCTTCACTTCCTAATCAACTTCAGTGCATTCAATCTGAGTCAGTTTCTGGGGGGAGTCACTCTTGGGTCCTTTTTTCTCAAATCCTAGCAAAGTGGTTTTTCCGAGAATGACAATTTGCCAGTGATAGTTTGAATCTGAGTCAGTTATCTGCTAGTAGATCCTCTACCAGTGATAGTTTGAACCCACATGCAATTAACAAGGAAAGTCATAGGGATGATCTTCCGATGGAAGTGTCTACTAATCATAGACTTGAGAGGAACGATGTTCTTGGGAATGACGGTGATGAATATAAAAAGTGGTTGAGGAAAATGAGTATGTGTCTTTCCCTTTGGAGGAAGATGTGCCTCACTTTACACAATTACTTGACACTCTTGGTTTGTCACTAGTTAGGAAGAATGGGAAGAAGTCTAGGTCTAAGAGTGTGGGGTTTTCATCTAAGGGTGGTAGTAGTCATAGAAGCTCGGGGCAGAGAAAAGGGATGAAGGAATTAAGAAATCTTGAAAGTGGCATTAATTATGAGGGGTGGGGGAAAGAGACAAGGGGCAATGTTGGTTCTCGATGAAGATTTTGAGTTGGAATGTTAGAGGACTACGATTTTGTAGGAAAAAGATGGTAATTAAAGAGGTTTTGAAAATTCATCAACTAGATAGAGTGATGTTTCAAGAGAAAAAGTGAGGAATGTAATAGAGGTTTCATTAGGAGTGTTTGGGGGACTAGGTTTAGGAGATGGGTTGTTTTAACTTTTAGCGGGAGATCAGGGAGAATTTTGATTATTTGGGATGAGAGAGTTGTATCGGCGTGTGAGATAGTTGTTGGGGTGTTTTCATTGTCCATTGGGTTTAGGAATCGGGATAACAATGAATGGTGGTTGACGAGGGTTTTTGGTCCCAATATGCCTAGTAGTCGTCAGGAATGGTAGGAGGAGTTGGTGGGATTATTTAGGCTTTGTTCCCTTAATTGGTGTTTGGGCGGAGATTTCAATGTGGTTCAGCTTATTTTGGAAAAACTCAATGGGGTTTCTACAAATAGGAGTATGCGGGATTTCGACTACTTTATAAGGAAGTGTGAGTTGCTTGACCCTCCTTTGAGTAATGCTCGGTTTACTTGGTCTAATCTTCAAGAAAATCTTGTGTGTTGTAGGTTGGATAGGTTCTTCATAATCTAGGGTGGGAGGAGTTGTTTCCTGATATAAGGCAAAAGGCAAGGCCAAGAGTTGTGTCAAACCATTGCCCGGTGATTCTTGAGAGTTGTCCTTTTAAATGGGGTCCTAACCCCTTTAGATTCGAGAATATGTGGTCGGAAAATCAATCTTTTAAGGAGAATTTTAAGGATTGGTGGGAGAGCAATAAAGTCTATTTGGTGGGAGGGTTTTAAGTTTATGGGAAACCTTAGAGGAGTCCAGGATAATTTAAAGGTTTGGAAGCGTGAAGTTTTTGGTGATCTAAATGAGGTGAAAGCGGAGTTAGTTCAAGAAATTGAGAAATTGGATGCGAAGGAATTTGGGGAGGGTTTATCTAGGGCTTTAAGGGATAAGAGATCATTGCTCAGGATGAAGTTGGAAAAGCTTGTTTTTAGGGAGCAGATTTTTTTTGGGACAAAGAGCTAAGTTGAAATGGGCTAAAGAGAGTGATACCAATTCTAGATTTTTTTTCATAGGGTTGTGTTGGGAAAGAGGAAGAAGAATTTTATTAAAAATTTGGAGGTAAGACAGGGTGTGGTGGTGAGTAAGGAGGAGTTTGTTGTTAAGGAGATTTTCAATTTTTATTCAAATCTCTATTCTGATGGGGGAGTGGATCGTCCAGGGATCGAAGGCATTAATTGGGCTCCTGTGGAGTCAATGACAGCCAATTGGCTTGAAAGACCCTTTGATGAATGTGAGGTGAGATAGGCGGTGTTTGAGCGTGAGAGAGATAAGTCTCCAGGTTTTGATGGTTTTTCAATGGCTGTATTTCAAGATTGTTGGGACATTGTGAAAGGGGATCACATGAGAGTGTTTGGTGAGTTCTTTGAAAGTGGGGAGGTCAACTTATGCGCCAAGGCATCCTTCATTTGTCTAATTCCCAAGAAGGAGAAATCAGTCCAGATTGGGGATTTTAGACCCATTAGCTTGGTTACACCACTCTACAAAATTCTAGCAACGGTGCTTTCTAAAAGAATTAGGGTGTTCCTTGGGGAAACCATGTCTTCTGCACAAGGTGCGTTTGTACAGGGACGACAGATATTAAATGTAGTCTTAGTAGCAAATGAGGTTGTTGAGGAGTATAGAGGGTTACATAAAGAGGATGCTGTCTTTAAGGTGACTTTGAGAAAGCGTATGACCATGTTGATTGAGGCTTTGTGGATTTGTTTTGGAAAGGAAAGGGTTTGGATCTATGTGGAGAATGTGGATTTGGGGGTGCTTGTCATCTTGCAATATGTCGGTCATTGTGAATGGTAAGGCTGGGGACTCTTTTTGGGCATCTAGGTGTCTAAGGCAAGGTGATCATTTATCACCATTTTTGTTTATTTTAGTTGCTGATGTGTTGAGTTGGATAATTGATATACCTAAGGATAAGGGTGTTATTGAGGGATTTATGGTGGGGAGGGATAGGATCGGAGTCACTCATCTACAGTTTGCGGATGATACTATATTTTTTTCATCAAATGAGGAAAGTAAGATGGGTAGTTTGCTAAAGATTTTGAGAATTTTTGAAATTGTGTCGGGCCTCAAGGTCAATCTTAGCAAGAGTAGTGTTGTGGGTATTAATTTGGGAGAGAGCTATGTGCGAAGGGTGGCGGATATGTTGGGATGTTCCATTGAATTATTTCCTCTCAAATACTTGGCCATTGGGGGAGATCCTAGAGTGGCGTCCTTTTGGGAGCCTGTTCTTGTCAAAATTGAGAAAAGATTGGAGGAATGAAAGCAAACTTTGTTGTCTAAGGGAGGGAGATATGCTTTGGTAGAGTCTGTATTTAGGCTCTGTTCCTATTTATTTCTTGTCCATATTCAAGATTCCGGTTAGCATTGTGAGGAAAATTAAGAAATTGATAAGAGATTTTTTTTTGGGAAGGGTGTGAAGAAGGTAAAAGGGTTCATTTGGTTAAGTGGGAGGTTGTTTCACTCCCTAGGGATAAAGGGGGTCTGGCTATAGGAAATATCATTTCTAGGAACATTGCTCTCTTGGGCAAGTGGTTGTGGACATTTCCTGTTGAAAGTGATTCGCTATGGTGTTCAGTTGTTAAGAGCAAGTATTGTGTTCAACCAACGGTAGAGATTCTAACGTGGTTAATAGAGGCAATTGTCGTTCTCTATGGAAGTCCATTTCTTGCTTGTTTGCACTTGTGTTTAATTTCCTTTCATTGAGAGTGGGGAATAGGGTGAGCATCCGTTTTTTAGAGGATATGTGGGTAGGAGATATCTCATTTGACAGAGCTTTTCCTCTTCTTTATCGATTGATTCGTTCTAGGAATGTTTCGATAGCGTCGGTGGCATGGTCTTTTATGGCTCCCATCTCTTGGAATTTTGATTTCCTTAGGAACTTAAATGATAGGGAGGCGGCTAAGTTGGCATCTTTGTTGGTATTGCTTCATGGGGTATAAGGAAAACAGTATAAGAAGGTGAAAAGGTCCAAGAAGGATGCCACTGATGCAATGAAAGAAGAAATCCGAAAAAACAAATGGTTTAGATAAGTAATTTGTCTTTGAAGCAATACTTTGTTGGATTATCTTTTATGGTTTCTAATGTATATGCTATATTTGAGTTACTGATGTTTTATTTGAGTACTAGATCTGTTCCATTAAGTAGCACAATAAAGCAATGGTATCCAGATGAGAGACCTTTGTCGTACCATTTTGGAATCAAAATGTCTGCCATGTTTGACGTTAATATCCAAAACAACGATTGTGGTCCTTGAGGCTCGCTCGAGGTTGAAGGGCGAATAGAAGATGTGATGTTGCTACTATGGCTATAGCAGGAGCAATGCGGATAATGATCTTGATGTTTTTTGTTTTGTAAATTTTTTTCAAAGGATGATTTAATTGAAAATTAATGAATGTGATGTTCTATTGTTGAAGACTGAATGTGATGAGTGATGAAGAATTGTACAGAGAATGGGAGAAGAAAGAGAAATTCTCTTTCAAATACAGAAAATTCAAATTTCAAGTTTTGGGAGAGAATTTGAAAATTTTAAAAAGAAACTTTCAGTGTTACATTTTATTTTTGGAATAGAGTGTTAACGTCTATTAACATTGTTTGAACTAGTCAAATGTTTGTGAACGTGGCATACTCTCTGACATTATACTTGCGTGGCACTCTCTTATTGGAATGGAGCACCACTTGGTAGTGGCAAGGTGGTGCTCCTGGAGCAACCAATAATTTCTCAAAAGCCAGAGACTTGACCTTGTATTGGTTGGATGACTTGGAAATATTTCTCTCTTTCATCCCACCAACCCAAGGTTGGTTTGTCTCCCATTTCTATTTCAGTCTCAAAATGTTCCATTCACTCTTACTTTCTAATTCCAACTCCAATTTTTTCTACACTTATGACCAACCTTGATGACTTGCTTTGGGATCACTAGAATTAACGCGTAAAATATATTGGGCAATTATTTGGACCACTAGTCTTTGTATTTTGATTTCTATATTATTTTGGTCTATGTAAATTTTTTAGTAATAAATATGATTACCAAATTTTTCATAAAATGAATCATGATTCATAAGACTCACTTTTAATATAATACCCTAACAAATTTATTTTTCAAACTTCGAGACAACAAAAAATTATGAATCTTAAACCTATGCTTTTGTTCAATAAAAAAGCAAAGCAATCTCAAAATGTTCCATTACTTGCTTTGTAAATAGCCTGAGCATTACCAACTTTTAATTGATTCATGCAAATTAGTAGTCTTTATATTTTTACTTTTATGTCATTTTTGTTTTTATAATTTCAATGGACTCAATTTTGATTTGAAATTATGATTTTGTCTCAATTTAATCCAATTAATTATAATTATAATTTTTTTTTTTTTTGGATAAAAAATAGTCACATGAGTGGCATGTGTCATGGTTTTATAGACAAAAAATTGTAAACTTGTTCAATTCAATGAGTTAACCTCAATCTATTCAGTAATATTTTTTCTTTCAAGAACCCTAATCAATGTTATTAATCGAACCATATTAACACAAAATCTAAAATCAAGAATTTAAAATTAAACTAATTGAAATTACTCAGACAAAAAATGACACAAGTAACAAAATATAAAGACTACTCATCTAATTTCCTATTGGTTTATGAAAACCATTCCTAATAGCTTTGGGACCACTAGAATTAAAGACAGAGACTTACTCTAGTGAACTTGGAAGTCAAGATGGCTGATGATGGACAAAATTACATAGTTGCCGTGCTTGACGGGATGGGCTGCTCCACCACCACCATAGTAAGACTTAGAATTGTGTATAATAATGAATAATAATACATTTATTCCTTCTCCATCTATCATCAAACTACTATCCTTCTTATTCTCCTTTTCATATCTCTCTGAATCCTCCTACCTGTAAGAAACAAAATGAGTTGGCTTATGTTTCTTTTGCTATTTCTCTTGTGAAAAATAATATCCTAAAAAATTCATATACTTTTTAAACTGCAAGACAACAAAAAAAAAATAATGAATCTTACGTCTATGCGTTTGTTCAATTAAAAGCAAACCAGTCTCAAAATGTTTTATTACTTGCTTTATAAATAGTCAAGGCATTACCAACTTTTAATTTATTTAAGGAAAACTATGTTAGTAGTCTTTATATTTTTTCTCGTGTTATTTTTGTTTTTAATATTTCAATTGACTCAATTTTGACATTAATTTATGATTTTATTTCAATTTGATCTAATTGATTACAACTTTTAGTATTTTCTTTTTATGAAAAATGTGCACCTGAGTTGCATGTTTCATATTTCTATAACTAAAAATTTGTAAACTTATTCAATTCAATTCTCAACTAACTCAATAACATTTCTTCTTTCAACGACCATAATCAGTGTTACCAATTAAATCAAATTAATACAAAATTAAAAATTAAAAATTCAAATTAATTAAAATTACTCGAATTAAAATGACATGATAAACGAAATGTAAGGAAATTTCCCATTGGAATTAAAGGCAAATAATCACTGTTACGTGCTTGACAGGCTGGGCTGGGTTGGGCTGGGCGGTATAATAATGAGTAATATATTTTCTTTCTCCATCATCAAACTACTATCCTTCTTATTATACTCTCCTTTTCATATCTCTCTGAATCCTCCTACCTATAAGAAAACAAAATGAGTTGGCTTACGTTTCTTCTTCATCAATTTCTTCTGCTATTTCTCTTGTCTTCTTCTTCTACTTGTGCACACCATACCTGCCTTGAGGACCGGAGATTTTCACTTCTCCAATTTAAAACAACATTTACCATAACTGCTAATGCCTCTTTAGGTTGTGAATCTGATTCTTTTCCTAAAATGGTGTTCTGGAATAAGAGTAGTGATTGCTACTCGTGGAAGGGGGTCACGTGCGAATAGTCCAATGGTCATGTGATTGGACTTGACCTCAGTTGCAGCCACCTTCAGGGCATCATTCAACCCAACAGCACCTTTTTCCACCTTCGTCACCTCCAAACCCTCAATCTTGCCTTCAATGACTTCAATTTCTCTACAATTTCACCTGATTTTGGCTCCTTTCCAAGTTTGACCCATCTCAACCTCTCTTACTCTAATTTTACAGGCCGAATTCCTTCAAAAATCTGCCATCTGTCCAAATTGGTTTCCCTTGACCTCTCTCACTTTGATTGTTATAATCCTTATTCTTTTTCTCCGGTGAGACTTGAACAACACACTTTTAATATGCTCCTTCGAAACCTAACCCAATTAAGAGAACTACACCTTGATTGGTTGAATATCTCTTCACATTTACCTCATGCTTTGCTAAATCTATCTTCTTTGACATCTCTTAGTCTTGATTATTGTCATCTGCGTGGGAAATTCTCAGAAAACATTTTTCACTTTCCAAACCTACGAAAGCTCGATTTAGGGGGAAATTGGGAACTCACAGGTAAACTTCCATACTTCAATGTGACTAGTTCCCTTCAGTTTCTTGATCTCTCCTCCATAAGTTTTTCTGGCCAATTGCCTAAATCAATCGGCAATCTTAAAGCCTTAAATATTTTGTGCCTCTTCAACTGCAACCTTTCGGGGTCCATTCCAGCTTCTCTTTGGAATCTTACACAAATCACCAATCTAGACTTCAAGATTAACAGTTTCGACTGTCAAATCCCCTCATCAATTTCAAACCTTGCAAAGCTTAATGGCTTGTATCTTTCCAAAAACAATTGGAACGGACAAATACCGGATTCCCTTGGCAACATGAGCCAACTTACTCACTTGGCTCTTTCCAGCAACAATTTGAACGGTCAAATACCGGATTCCCTTGGCAACATGAGCCAACTAACTTATCTCTCTTTGAGTTATAACTCACTCAATGGGACAATACCATCTTCGTTGTTTGCTCCGCCTTCACTGGTTGGTATAGGATTGAGTAACAATAAGCTACAAGGACCAATTCCAGGATTAGTTTATGAACTCCAGAACCTAACATACTTGCTGCTTTCATCAAATAACTTAAGTGGTGTAGTGGATCTAGATAAGCTTCTAAAGCTTAAAAATCTGATCTATCTTGATCTCTCATATAATGGTCTCTCATTGAGCATCAACAACATTGTCAACTCTACCTTGCCCAACTTGGAGTATATAAGTTTAGCTTCTTGCAACTTAAGCGAATTCCCAAACTTCTTGAGAGAGCAAGCCAGATTCCGTTCTCTAGACCTTTAAAACAACAAAATTCATGGTGAAGTTCCAAAATGGATATTTGATGTGGGGAAAAATACATTGGAAGGTTTAAATCTTTCTCATAATTTCTTAACAAGTTTAGAGCGTCTTCTATGGAAGAATCTAGCATATATTGACTTGCCCTCCTACTTACTCCAAGGACCACTCCCTATTCCACCTAACACCACAAATGTTTTCTCTATCTCAAACAATAAATTGACCAGAGAAATCCCTACATTGATTTGCAATCTGAGTTATCTTCTAGTTCTTGATCTATCTAATAATAGTTTGAGTGGCTCGATTCCACAATGTTTGGGAAACTTGAGCAATAGTCTATCGGTGCTGAATTTAGGGATCAATAGATTTCGTGGCACGTTTACTGCAACATTTACCAAAGGCAATATGCTAAGGAATCTTAACTTGAATGGCAATCAAATTGAAGGATAAGTTCCCCGATCTTTGCTCAATTGTAGACGCTTGGAAGTTCTAGATCTTGGAAAAAACAAGATAAATAATACATTCCCCCACTGGTTGGAAACACTTCGAAATTTGCAGGTGCTTGGCTTGAAATTTAATAGGTTTCATGGTCACATAGGCACCTTCAAGACCAAGGGTAAACATCCTTTCCCTAAGTTGAGAATTATTGACATGTCTTACAATGATTTCAGTGGGCTTTTGCCAACAAATTATATCAAACAATTTGAAGCTATGATGAATGTGGATGAATATGAAATGAAACTGAAATACATGGTGAGACTTATTACCAAGATTTTGTGGTGGTGGTGATGAAAGGACTGGAGATTGAATATTCAAGAATCTTAACTATCTTCTCAATCATTGATTTATCAAGCAACAATTTCCGAGGAGAGATTCCGAAATCCATTGAGAAGCTTAATTCACTTCGGGGTCTTAACTTATCTCATAACAATCTTACAGGCCATATCCCAACTTCACTTGGAAATTTGAAAAACCTTGAATCATTAGACCTTTCCTCAAACAAGCTTGTTGGGGAGATTCCTCAACAATTGACAAATTTGATGTTTCTTGTGGTACTAAACCTTTCGGTCAACCAACTAGTAGGACCAATTCCTCAAGGGAGGCAGTTTTATACATTCGAAAATGATTCATACAGTGGGAACTCGGCTTTATGTGGAATCCCCTTGTCAAAGAAATGTAAGGAACTACAGGCACTGCCGCCTCCACCAACATTCCAACAAGATGAGAATTCGGACAAGTCAAGTGGATTTAGCTGGCAAGTTGTAGTGATGGGGTATGGATGTGGCTTTGTATTTGGAATTGTTACGGGATATCTTATGTTTCTAACTCGAAGTCTAGAATGGCTGATGAAAATTGTTGAAGGAAAACAATATAAGAAGCTGAAAGGGTCCAAGAAGAGTGCCCACTGATGCTGTAAAGGAAGAAATCAGCAAAAACAAATGGCGTCTTTTAGGTAAGTAGAATTTATCTTTGAAGCATTACTTTGTTGAATTATCTTTCACGGTTTCTATGTATATGCTATTATTGAGTTACTAATGTTTTTATTTAAAAACTAGATATGTTCCATTAAGTAGCACAATAAAGCAATGGTGTCCACTTGAAGGGGTGTCTCATGTAGCTGTTGCATTTGAGTCCATGTGCATCTGAATAGCAGCTATACAGGATCACTTCAAAAGATTTTACCCTTGTTTCTGTATTAAGTTCTAATGCTTTGTTACGTTGTTTAGTTTTCTTAAAGCATGAGTTAAATAAGAGTTGCATGTCATGACTCTTTCTTGTTTCTTTTCTCGCATCATGTAGCAACCTTTAAAGATTTGTACTTTTTGTATATAGCTGCTTTTAAACTGGATTTCAGTCAAACTTGGCCTTACTGAGTTTTTTAACTTTGAAATGCAATCTTAAAAGTTACAACTCAAACCATTCCCCTTGTTTCATTCTTAATCATTTTTGAATGACAAAATTGTTGGCTACTTGATAGAGAATTTGCATTGAAAATAATGATGTGTTACTCATTTTTAAAATGTTGCCAAGTCTGCTTGTTGGGAGGTAAAAACATTCTCAATTCAATGGCGACTAAGGCATCACACTGGAGATATTGTCTAGCACTTGTTTCTATTGAGACAAGGGAATTTTGTGATTAATTACAGTAGGAAAATGGTGATTCTGAGAGTATTGATTGGAAATGTTGTTCATAAGCAAGAAAAGAATCATGGAAATACAATCAACATTGGGATCAACATTTGGATTTACTTTTTTCAATTGTGATAGCTTAGTGTACTATATTGTTATATTTTCTCTGCCAACTCTCCCAAATACAATAAACTATTAACTAAATGATTGTTATAAACATTAAAAAAGATGGCAGTTATTTGTAAGTCAACTGATCTTAATGCGTCTTGTTGTTCCCTTCAGTTTCTAGCTATAGGCAGAGCTCCTCCAGTTTGGATGTCCGTATTCCACAACCAATCCGGATATTTAAGCTGGACGTTTAGTTTAGTATGAGCAATAGATGTTTGTTACATTGACACTTTTTATAAATTAATGGTTAAGATTTTGTCTACTTATTTACAAATTCACAGTTAGATCCAAATAAAAAAACTTGACCCAATATTTAATATGTTAATGGGTAGACAATCTGATTGTTCAAACAACATTCTTTAGTCCATATTCAGATTGGAAAGAAGCCATTCTCTTTGAATTATCTGCAGGAGCATTGGATAATTTTTCTTCTCAAACTAGTTTATTTCTGACCAACTACCTAATTCAATCAACAATCTTTGATCCTTAAGTAGTTTGTACCTCTCTTATTTTGCAACTTTTTAGTATTGCCATTTTTTTTAATAATGATTTTGTTATGCTTTTTACCATAGTAAAACATATCTGTTGTACGGGAAAGAAATAAACCTTCTTGTATAATCCTGTTGATCAAGTCTGCGCTCCTCCAAACGTTGTCACTTTATTCCCTGAAAACACAAACGTGAGCTAGCCGGCGGGTGTGTGACGGAAACCCCTTCGATGCCTAAGTCAGAAAAATGGACAAAGACAAAAGTTCTGTGTATTCAAGAATCAAAGTTGTGTGTTACCTCTCCATAGGTGATGTTTGTGAGCTTTTATAGGTTCCGTGTGGCACAATCCAAGTAGGACTTTTACTTCTCCATGTAGAGTCCTCCTAGGATTCATACTCCTAAAAGATAATGCTTATCCTTCAACACCCCCCTCACTGCTTAAACCAAGTGAGATGGTTTTTACCATGGCCGAACTCCAATATGACCGAAGTAATCATGATCACGCCGAGCCACAGAGTAGACCGAACTATCGTTAGTTCGGTTCTACCTTGAATGTTCTTACCCCAGTTCCTCCTGTGTCAACAGTGTTAAGTCTAAACCGATCTAACTTCTAGCAAGGCTTTTAGACCGAACTAACCATACTGCGCCTTAACCGATATAAGATTTAGTATGGTGACCGGGCTAACCTCTTTGGGACCGGAGTAACTTTAACGGCTTTTTTACTCATCCCTTTGCCCTAGGGCCTACAACAGCCTATTTATGTAGCTCGGCCCAATTTCCATATAAATTACCCTCTCAATTGCCCCTTAATTCCATCTGCATAGCATGATAGGGATTACTTGTTTAACCAGCCGGGCTAAGGTTTTTAAGCCTTTTTAGCCGAGCTTAAAACCTTTTAGCTTTTCCAACCGAGCTCAAGCCCTTTAGCTTTTCCAGCCGAGCTAAAATCTTTTAGCCTATCCAGCCGAGCTCATTCCACACCGGGCTCTGCTTGTCCGGTCAAAACGTCTCTTCAATCACAACAGCTGAATCGTTTCTCCTTCCCATGACACGTGGTACGCCCTTATTGGCCTATTGCAGCTGTCACGCCGCCCTCGTACTTCGCATAATTTGAACAGTTCCCGCCTTTTGCCCCTTCTCTTTCCACAAAACAACCCTTTGTTTCTGAATCACTTACACCATTCACTCTTTCTTCTCTCCTTTTGCCTCCATTGTTCTCCATCCTTTGCAACTGTGAAGCTCGTGCTCGCTGCTATTTTCTACTTCCATTTCCTTCTCTTCACCTGGTAAGTTTTTCAAACCTGTTTTGCTTTTGTGGTCTTTGCATTTGCTTTCTTTCATTCTTGCCACACTGTTTTTGTTTTTGCAAAACATATTTTCTTGCTCTACCTTGCGTGTTCTAGGAAAAAACTTCATAAGAACCCCATAAACTTCATGAAGCTGTCTGCAGAACACTTAGTTTGATCCACAATTACCATATAACCGAACTAAAAAGTAGTTTGTAGTCAATGTCATTCTATCAGACTACTTAACCGAACTAGCACTCCATGTTGGTACCAGTAGTTTCAATAAGTCAAACCACTTCTTGATAGACCTTAGCCAAGGTATCCAACCGAACTAAGTCTGCACTTAGCATACTGGGAAACCTTAATTTCGACCGATCTATGTCTTTGGGACTAAACCAGCTTTCTTAGTTTTTAGACCGAACTCAAAAAGCTGCCCCTAGGCGCTCAACTAGTCTAACATTACCTACTAATCCATCCCAGCTACCAAGCACCTTGTTGAAATCGAGATAGAACCTGTAGCATCCACATAGCCGAAGTAGGACTCCTATTCTTGCTTTTATTTTATAGCACGGTCCAATGATCTGTGCTTAACCCCTTTGTTTTCCACTTTGTAGACTTAGGTTGCCCAGGCACTCCACTGCGCGCTCAACCGAGTTATTGAGCACAATTTTGCGACCGAACTAAATTATCCATAACTTAAAAAATAAATGGGGAAGTATAGGTTTTCGGTAGAAACCCCTGGTGGCCTGGCCGAATTCCGAAGGGATTACAACATCCCTGACGACGTCCAACTTATCTTGGCCGAACAAGATATCGTTCCATGGGGAAAATAGGGCTATGTACCTTTCACCCTCTTATCAATAATAGAAAATGGACTAAGATTCCCCGTTCAACCCTTGATTTGTGAATTCCTAAGACAAACCAGAATATGCCCAACTCAGCTTTCGACCAATTCTTACCGTATAATAATGGGAATAGCCGAACTAAACCGCCGAGCCGGTCTTAACCTCGGTCTAGCAAAAATATTCCACCAATACTCCATTGGCTCCAAAGATGACGGCTAGGTCTACTACCTTAGGATACGCCGTCGCAGAGAAAAAATAATAAAAGATACGCCGGATAAGGACTTAAACGATGACGATTTTTTCTGGGTATCTGGGAATTTTGAAGACCACCAAGCCCAGATCCCAGGCCGAAGTATAAACTGGAAAAAAGGAACACCTGGTATAATTACTTCGGTTTGTTCACATGCTTTGTTTTTATTTCGGTTACTTGCTCCTGAACCGAACTAACAGCTAGTCTTCTTAATGCAGATTCAGCCCATCTTCAATCTTTGTATAGTTACCCCAACCTGAACATACTTCGCGCCGCACTACGTTTTCCAGAAAGAAGTTGGGCCAAACTTCTTAATTTTGAGCCGACATACCATTACAACGGTCGCCGAAAAGCCAGAGTAACAGACTTTCTGCTTGAGGACGCCCCCGAACCAGACCCAACCTTGCCACAAATTAGACTAATCCCACTGACCCCTGAAGAAGAGATGGCCAAGAGAAATAGAGTCAGGGCCCTCTTGACCGAAACCAACAGACCCGAAGTACCGCCACCAAGCCAAACGTAACAGGCCGTTGTGGCCCTTCCTTCTCAACAGCCTTCTTCATCACGCCCATCCAAGGGTGCCCGGTCTACCCCAACCGAACAGCATCTAGCAGATGAGGACGAAACCACCCCTCCACCGAGCCACCCACCGATTCCACAACCGGAGCCTTCTGACCGAGCTGGCTTTTCCAAGTGGGCACCGAAGCTGAAATTTCATAACCGAGATATCCAAGATACCTATTCGGTGGTTGCTGAGAAGGATCACTTGATGGCATTCAACCTTGCCAAGAGTGTTTGCCTTCTAGCAGACATGGAACACCACCAGAACCTGACCGAACTAAGGGCCATCCGATCGGCCACCAAATCCATGATCCTGGTAAGATGCCCCTCGTCTCTCAAATTTTTCAAACTTTTAGTTCGGTTTTGTCATTGATTTCTTTCCATTCATTTCAGTCTCTTCAGAAGAGCCAAATTGCCCATCAAAAGGTATTGGAGCTCAGGAAAACGGCTAGGCAGGCCATGGCAGAGGTGGAAGAAAGAACAACCGAACTGAAGGAATCACAACAAAAAACGACCGAGCTAGTGGCTAAGGTAGCTCGTCTAACCGGGCTAGTTACCTCGGCTAAAGCTGACAAACAGAAGGCGTTGACCGTGATGAAAGACAAGTACCTTCGTGAGCTAGTCAAGCTCGAAGGGAAAAAGGACGCCGAAATCGCTGAACTGAAGAAGAATGTGGGTGGT